AATTAGCAATCAGTCACTCCCAGCGTGCAGCTGTGGCCAGAAGAGATAATGCAGTCCTCAGCTGTAACAACCAGAGAGGAGAGGAACCGCTGCTCCCCTGGGGACTCCTCTCTCCGCCCAGGTCTAGTGCCCACACCCCCAGGATGCCCAACAGCTCAAGAGGGCTTGAGGCAGAGCCATGTGAGAGAACAGATCATGCTCTAGATTGAAATAATAAATGTGCTTCATCTGCTCATCAAAGAAAAGGATACGATGTGACGTGATCACAGCCATAAGAAACTTCCTGGTAGAAAGAAATTTTACACAAAAGCATGTTTCAGTTCAGCCAGCACAGGTAGAACAAGCTCAAGGGCTGGAAGCAGACGTTGAACAGGTCAGTCTAGGAATAAGACTCATTGAATCATTCAGGTAGAGATGCACCAGTAACCATGAGGGCACTGAGTGGCCAGAGCAGGACTGGGTCTCTTCACACTGCTCCTTCTCAGCACCACATCCCATGGGCTCACAGTTTGCAAATGGCAGCTGTTCCTCACTTATCAGGACACTTCAATAGGAAATCTTCCCAAGAGAGATTTTGTTAATCCCAGACGGTTCTGCGCATTAATTTCTTCATCTGTTAATAACTTCAGAACTTGCACCAAAATACTAAGCTCTGCACTAGTAATTTTACAGTAAAAAGTGGAAGTAGCATTCATAATTTAGCAAGATTCAGAGTTCAATATTAGCTGCATAAACACTAGCAATAACACCACTTCTCACACTCTGCTTTTTTCTTTTTACCTCCACGATTTTTTGATGTATTTAGAAAGGCAGTTCACTGAGACAGGCGTAATTCCTCGTCCCCTCTGCCCCACTGCTATTGCCCCTGTGGTTGAGGTTATGGTTTGCCATTGGTGATTTTAAGCGTGACGCCAAGACGCATCCTGAGCACGCTAAGGTAATGATGCTCTGCTTGAAACAACGGTGGCAGCTGTCAGCACAAAAGGTTTTTGGCACCAAGAGAGCTGAACCAATGCTAGAAGCAATGGGGAAGGTTCATGTTCTCACGGCATATTGGCGTACGCTCAGCAAAGTCATCGCAGGGCACAAGTCAGAGTGGCGCTGATGACCAGCCCAGCTCCATGGCGGTGCTGAGCACCAGCACCCCTCTTGCCCCATATTCGCCGTCCTTCCTCCGTGCAGCACGGCAACCAATGACAAAAGGACTAAAACTGCACCGAAGACACTACTGAAAGTAGGGCACAGTATCTTTCATATCGACCTGTTAGCTGTAACTTATCTATGACTTCTCTTAGAAGCTAATTATTTTACACATTTAAATTAGGGTAATTAGATCAGCAGGAATTGAACTAAACCCAAATGCTGGTAGCCTTGTGAGGATTTTGTGAAATGGGGTTTTATATTCCATCTGCACTTCCTTCCATTAAGGAAAGAGAGTAAGCATCCCCAAAGATATAGAAATTTTGATCCCCCCTTATGTTATTACATACCACTATCCAGCCTGCACCCTTAATTTCCATGCAGCCCTTTGCATGTAGGACTATAGGTAAAGGAGCCCTGCAAGGAAGCAGACTGAGACAAGACGCGCACCTCAGATCCTGTTTCTGCGTCGCATTGATACAATCACTGAAATGCAGGCAGGCAGGTCTTGGTGTAACGGTTTGCCAGCAGCGATCCAGTACTTTTCAGACATCCACTTTATATAGTTCTCTTGTTATCACTTTCTGCCTATGGCTTCACCTCACTTGAAAGGCTGAAGTTGTTCCCACCTTTACATCCTTCCGCGGAGAGGCAAACGTTGCTGTTTTGGGTAAGCAGCAGCATACGACAGGCACGGTAATCCAGGAATTTGCTTCTTGCAAGTTCCACAAGTGGCCTCACCTTCCTTCCATGGCATTCACACATAACAAACAAAAACCTGCTGTTATGAAGAACAGAAGAATAATTTATTTGATCCAGGAAGAAAGAAAGCATCCAAAAAAAAAAAAGAGATTGTGACTTTGCTCCAATGGAAAGCAGCGTAACCTATTTACGTTTTAAGGGAGAAAAACCACTGAATAGCTGCTTGTATCTGTGTTGTACACATCATTTCCAAGCATTCCTGTTTAACTTGAAAGCAGGGGTCTTGCTACAGCTGGTACAGACTTCCACACAGGAGAATCCATTTCCGAGCAGGTTTCTCCTTCCATAACTGTGTGCAGACTGCAAACAAACGAGCTGTTCATGTCCTGAGAAGCATCAACCTTGTACTTTACGCATGTCTGGCAAGAGACAGAGTGAGGCAGCACAGCCTTCTGTTCAGAGATTTTTGGGATCGAGAACCCATGTTATTTTCTAAACAAGAAAATGTAAGAGGTGATTTATTTGAAAGAGAAGAAGAAAGTGTCTCAGAAAAACTGCTCAACTTTCACTGGCCTCTAATGAAAGGAGCCACAATGTCTGAATTGTGACCACAGCTCAGAAATAAAGGTCACTAAAAACACATTAGAAAAATGCGTGGAAAGTGCTTTGAAAAGCTTAAATATAGGAAAAGGAGAGGAAAATAGAGAAACTAGAGGAAGATGACTCAGGAGCTTCTAATAAAGCACCAGATCTGACACCAATACTCACTCTGGTCAGTGGCAAGTCATTTAACCTCACATGTAAAATGAGGATAGCAGCAACCTCTTGGGCATTGGGAGACTTAATTAGTTGCTATTCGTAGATTAAACAGAAAGTCTGAAGGTGAAAGCACTAAATGCTAGGTATTATTAGCCTCTGAAGTATTCGTTTCTGTAATTGGGCAACCCCAACATTACAAAAAAGTGGATCAGTGTCAATTTTTGAAAGAAATTTATTCTTATGGTTCTACCATGTCAAAAGGGTACCCGAACAAGGAATTCAGCTTTTAAAAAGTAATAACTCCTAACACATCTACGTAAAACACAATGCAACTTGTCATCTTCAGTGCAGAACTTCTGACTCCTACCCAAACTCATCCCACACTCCGTAGCAGGAAACACCATCTCGTCTTAACCAAACAGCTCTGCGAGCTCCATGGTCCCAGAGCTCCGTGTGAAACTCGTACAGCGCTGTGCACGCAGCAGCACTGACTCGTTAACACAAGACACATCCGTTTGCATGGCGGAACTCTTCTTCATGCTGCCCGGTCCCTCTGTAGCCAGGGCTGAACTGCCCAAGCCGGCTCCACCAGTGGTTTTGGAGCTGGTTTCTCTGTTCTTCCAAGGCAGGGAGAAATGACCCTTGGAGAAGTTCAAAACCAAAAAGAAAAGGAAAAGAAGAGCAAACCCAGCCCCTAGGAGTTTTAAAACAATCTTCTCTCTTTGACTGTCCGCAGATTTCTGTTCTGCTGCCTTGTTCAGTAAAGAAGCTGGTGCCGAAGCCTGAAACCCCTCAGCTCCCGCTTCATTATGTGTTCCTGCTGTGGCAGTAACATTTGCTTCCTCAGGCTTTTCTCGGGCATAAAGGGCATAGCGGGACACAGTGATAACAAATTCCTTCCCTTTGGATTTCTCTACCGAGAGACAATCATAGAATCCAGCCATTGCTTTGTCACATTAAATATTGCTATTCCTCCATCACAGAGGAGATATTTAGAGTCCTCGGCCTGAAGTCTGCTCCCATTAAACTTCCACACTATGCGTGCCAGATTCGACAGAGGAACACAATGAAGGTGAACGTTGTTTCCAAGGGTAAAGAGATATTTCCTCACTCTATTTTCTGAAATTAGGAAGATAATTTTTTGAAGTAAAAACACTGAGGATTTAGTTGAACTTACAAAACTAAATACATATTCAAATAAATACAACATTTAATTCACCAGTCTGACAATGAGTAATGAACAGGTAAGGGGTAAAGACACAGAAATCCCATTACAACAGGTCTGACTGTCAGTCACATCTTGCTGGCCTTATTCCCACTCGTGTAACAGAATGAATATGGAACTAAAAGCTTAAGACTTTCAGGTTTTAATCTATACATAGCCATGCGTAAATAAATTCACCTTTATATGCCTCAACTTCTATATTGGTTAATGGCATCTCTTCACAGAAACGCTTTGATGTCTGCACAATGCTTTTATCAGCTATGTAAAAGTTCCCCAACTGTCCCACTGATTGCCTTATTATCATTTGTTGTGCACCATAAAATATGCAGGACTAAAGACAACTCTGACTTTAAAGAGACATAAGTGGAAGCAAGAGATACATCTCGTGTCATGAAGAAAGCAATGTATTTTGCAACTCCTTACGAAGTCGCTGCATAATACCACCAGATCACACACACCTACAATTCTACATTCAAAATAATTTCCCAGTCCAGCTAAAAATAATGAAAATAAATGATTTTAAACAGCTGATAACAAATAGCCTTCTTTTTAAGTGTGCTCTTGAATAGTATGTCATGTATCTGCAGAACAGCATCCTAAAGCAGTGACAGATTTAACAAGACAGCTGATGTGTCGTGTGATTTCTGCAACACCAGTAACTTCAAACGGGTCACATTTATACTTCCCTCGAGAGTAAGAGTTTCAGTCTGAACTGAAGTATTCTGACATTGAGATTGAGAAGGTTAAGAGCATTAGGCAGTACCAGCTAGTGTGCTTGTTTCTTTTTTCAGGGTTTTTTTGTCTTAGTTCAAAAGTAATAATGAACATGATTTGAATTCTGTGGTTTTCTACAATGCAACAATTCCAGTGAGCACAAAGCATTTTGATCACATGAAGTTAAAATATTCTCTTTCTTAAAACAAATATTCACATACCTACACTAAGGCAGCTGGAAGCATCCCCATCTTTCACACTTTGAATTAAATTCCTGGAAAAAAAAGAGAAACAAACAAACAAACAAAACCAAACAGATGAAAACACAGACACGAAGTGTCCCACCTTGTGTCAAGCCATTTCTAGGAATCATCCTAGTTTTGTGGTACAGACATTAAGAGTGCACCCATACAGCAATCTCACATCAGGTGTGCAGCTGAAACAAAAGCTTTTTACTCACTCAGTGTGCGCAGCCCGGTTTGCCAGCAGAATGCACTCGGCAGCAGATTGAGACCAGGCACAGTACGGATCCCTGGCCAGGACGCAGTCCCAGCAGGACGTGTACTGGGGGCACTCAGCAACGGGGAGCTGAACCACTTGAGACAGGGACCCTACATAGAGCATCCCCTGGAAATGCAGGAGAGATTTCTTTCACAAGAGTGAGTGAGATTTAAGCTATTATTTTCTAATATGGACTGTGAAGTTTTCTGGTATTTATTAAAAATATCAGTAAACTGAAAATCTTGTGAGAATAGATGGGTGATATGAGGAAAAAACCTAGCTTTCCAAAGCATATACAATGACAGAAATCCTTCCCTAATGTTTTAATGAACATAAAGGCTTGTTTCAGTTCTATTTTGACACACGCAAATTCTTCTACAGAAAAAGGATGTTTTGTGCTTCTGCTATTAACAGATATGTGATTGAAGCAGAATTATGAGACATTTACAGGCCATTTAAAAGCCAGAACAACAGCAGAGAAGAGCAAGGCCTGAGGCAAGCGATTACAGCATTCACTTTCCATATGCGGGGACAGGAGTTGTACCTTTGCAGAAGACAGCTGGAGATACTGTACAGGCTCAGGAGACATAAACAGCTGTAGCTCTTCCACAATGAACATTTCCCCATCGCAACTGAAAGCTTTATGCAAATATCCATCATCTACATAAAACGAAATGTATTTCTAAAGATAAACTTGTTTAAACACAGCATAACATTGCAGGCTGATAATTCATGTTGAAATTAGATAGAGATTTAGAAGACATTCCTGGGCAGAGGAAATTTTTGAAATTCTTCAAAGCAATTCTTACTTTTTCAATAAGAGAGAAGCAATGATTATTTTTTTCAGGGGAAAAAAAGACCTCAAACAATCCCTGAATTTGCAAATATTATTATGTCAAGTCTCCTTTGATATGGAAAGTTTCTAAAGAGAGCTTTTTAATGTCCGACAAGCCAAACACACTTAATCTAACTGTGATGAAAATATTAAACTAGCAAGACAGCTTCTCAGTGCAAAACTTCAAACAAAGCTGATGAATACTTCTACTTTTTTGAAGTCTCAGAAAAAAATCTGGAACAAAATACATAAAGATGTATAGTGTCTTTTCCTAAAATAAAAGCACTTACCTGTTCCTAGAAACAACATCATACGTTTGTTTATCTAGGCCAGTAACTCTGTCTACTACAATCCTGGTATAGTTTGAACCTCTGTTCAGCAGCACTGGTCTGTTACCAATTGGATTTACAGAGTTATCCATTAGAGGGTGATCTCTAACAAACTGCAAAACTTTGTCAGGCAAGAGGTATAATACCCAATACTCCGGGCAAAATTATCAATGCACTAGAAACAAAACAGAATGGACATGATTACAATTGCTTTTACATTTCACTAAGGTATGTAAAAAAAGGCATATTTTCTTCTAATAATTCTGTTATTTCTAGTTATTTTCAACAGATAAAAGCCATTATTTCCCTCACACTTTATGAACTAGCTATAACCCCTGTCTCCTGTGGAGAGGAACTGTAAGCAAGCCAGCTTTTCTAGGAACCTTTGCACGATGGGATGAGAAAGCAGGTATCTCTCTGCTGTTACAAACATAGCATTTATAACCGTAAAACATCAGCTAATGATTTGCTACTAAAAAGAGATAATCCAGAGGCTGTGCTTTAATTAGAAGAAGTAAATTCGTATTTACAGCACCAGGACGTGGAACTGGCACTTCTCCCCTATAAACCGTCCATTTAACAGGGGAATGCTCTGCAGTTACTGGTCCTTTGTAGTTTCCTTTGGAGAAGACTTCCTGAATAGTTTTCATACTGTATGCACAAACAGCTGATATGTCTAATCTTCCCCTTAAAAAAACATCACACAAAAGAAAAGCAAGTTTTATTGGCTTTTATATAGAAAAAAATACTGTCAAATATCCCAATCTTCACAGCGCACACTGCTGTATCTTTTCCAGGACTGGTCAAAAGTTACCTAACACTAAAAATACTTCTCTGCTACAGTTTTCATGATTTGCTAAGACAAGAATAAAACAAAGACATTAATAAAAGATGGTATTAAATATGTTGTTAAATTTCAAGTACCTGCCCTCAAATAAATTGAAACAGCTTAGAAAATGAAGACCTTCTGACAACCTTTCTTGTAAGCAGACAGAGGCGGCCAAGTATCAACGTTTTGACAGGATTCTCCTCCAGACACAGACCATTAATTCTTCTTCTAATCCCTTTAACTCATTGTATTGAAAATCACAATACTTTCCCTCCCAATCTCCCATTAAAATGCTTTTCAAAATGGTAACTGAAAATTTAGGTAGACTTTTAGGAGTGCCTGGATGAGACATTGACGTGATTTCAGTTCTATCAGTGAATACCAAGTCCAAGTCTCTTGGTGACACACAAAGAAAGAAAAGTTCTACAAATTCCTATCTTAGGACACATTGAACCCAAACTGCCACAGTGAGAAATAAAACTCACATAAGTGCCAGTGGGTATAAACTGACAGGAAAAAAAGGTGGCAGCAGGTTAAGCTGCATTCTGGTAATTCTGCTGCTTTTGTAAAACATGAGAATTACCCACTCAGGACTACTTTGTCACTGGTATTTTTTGACATGTAAAGTTTAGATACACTTTTTCTTGTTTTTCTTCATTAGTCAGAGCATTAGGAAATAGCCAGGAAACACTAAAACTTGTACGGGATTTGTCTGATTGCAAGTTCAATGCAGTTCTGATTGCATTTTCACAGCACATTACATCAGACAAGCAGGCCACAACAGATACCTCTTTTGGGACAGGGGAGTAATCCTGCACCTTGAAATGTCAGCCATTTCCTTTAGTGCAATAAAGACCAGAAGAATCCAAGGCTTTGTGTATGTAATTATGTAATTTTATATGTAATTAGTTTTAATTACCCCACCATCCGACTACAGAAAACATAACTCTCAAAACTTGGCTTAGGAGCAGCTTTTGGTTAGTCTTTAATTGAAGGCTTTGGCCCAGGAACCAAAACCATTTTGTTTCAGATGATAATGCTTGCTCAGTTGGATCAGGCTGTAAGGAAAACAAATGTGGCCCATTAAAACATGCAGAGTAAGTAGCTGTAGCTCCTTGTTCTGAGTTAAAGCCAAAAGGCTGCACTCGGGCTGTTAATACTGAAGTGGGAACCCCTACTCAGGTCATTAAAAGCTTTAGGAGTGTATGTAGCCTGTGTCTCACCATTGCTGGGAAAAAATTCCATAAAATATGCTGTCCTGCCACTTTCTTCTCCTAAGTAAAAAGATGTCCTGGACAACATTGAAATGGAAGCTTAATTCTGGAATGGAACAGGAAAGGCGGGATTTTAAAAATGACGTCCACCTCCTCTGCAATATGCGCTTTCCACCAAGATCACCCTAAACGAAGGAATAACACCAGCACTGTAGAACACAGACAGAAATAGGTGCAATTTTCACCTGTTAGTGTTGCTGTGGGGAAAAATATGGCTGCCCTTTCAATACATATCTCAGTTCAAAGACAAAGAAAAAAGGTTTAAATGTCAAATGCAACCTGAACAGCTGGTTCTGGTCAAGCAGGAAAAAGAGGAAGCTAGTTCAGAAATAAAATGTATATGACAGAATTTTGTTTGGTGAGCCACTGTAGATACCATTGTTAATCACTCAAGTATGAAGCTTCATCTGAAATAAACTAAAAAAAATAATTATATATATATGTGTGTGTATATATATATACAAACAAATACTGACTCTGCAGATACGGGCAATTCTGGACACCAAAAGCTTGTCATAGAATTCAAATTCAACAGCTGTTTCAGTGAAGAACACATAAATTTTGTCATCATCTCCATTTGGATTAGATGCACTTTCGTGCACTATTTCCATGTTGACAAAGCTTGGTTCTGAAACATAGAAATACACAAAACATTTTAAGTTTATTAAAAAAACCCAAAATGCCTTTTTAAAATTAAATCTAACTGAATTTTTTGTGAATTAGTGACAAGAGAAGGGCTGAAAAGTATTTATGAATCGATCAAACATTAAGAGAAGGAACTGTGCTTTCATAAAGGGAAAGGGGCTGTGGCTCATCTCATCACTGTAGTTCGTAGTCACGAATTTCCGTTAAATTCTGTCCTTAGTTTAAAAGCTCACACTGCCAAATCAATCCATAACACAATATTACATTCTAGACAGAATCCATACACTAAATTAAAGTTCAAGAGACTGAAACGTATTAAAAAACTTACCATTTAACCATGATGTTTTAAATTCTGTTTTCACAGGATTTCTCATACTGCGAAGTATTATAGGTTCTGTTCCCAAAAAGTTATTTGAAGTAGCCAAATAAAACTCCCCATCTGTAAACATGTGGAAGAAATCAAAACGTAGAAATTACTTCTTTTTAAAATGCAAAGACGTATCACAAGGAACAAACTGGGGCTGACATGCAAAACCAGAATTAGGATAACACGATGCGGTAACTTAGTTTAGGCGAGGAAAACATTTCCGGTTGCATGTCAGTCCAAACGTACCTACAAAAACAGACGCATAATTCGGAGTTGGTTCAAACGGACGCTTTCCTCTGCTCTCTTCAGCTCTTCCTTGCAGGCTTATGTTTGTCCCATGGATAACCTATGGCAAACAATCGCTTAAATAGGATGAAAAAAATAACATTTGAGAAGTACTTCTCTGGTCTTTTCATAAAAGAATTAGGAAGGTTTCCAATTCTCAACAGGAAAGGTGTTTAAAGATCTCCCACACTACTCGAGTATCTTCAGTAAAACCTGCATTCAAACATAATTACCATGTGATCACAAGTTGGGTGATAGGCGTTGGTTCCACAGACATACAAGTCAGAATTATTTCTCTTATGGAGGAAGAGGATGTAGTTCTGGCAACTTATCTAAAACAAAATCAAAATGAAATGTACATAGCGTAGTGGATTGCATCTGAAAACATTCTGATGTCTTAGCAGCAAGCAAACAAACCCAACAGATTTAAATGAACTTGCTTTTACTTTGTCTATTAATAAGAACCCTGATACTGCAGCCATTTTCATTTTAGTTAATAACTTACAAGGGGAAACAGAAGTTCCTACCTTGTCCTTTCCTCTATGAATACATTCCAGTTGTCTTTCCTGTGTAGGAAACCAGTATTCCTAAAAGCCAAAAGCACTTGTAAGGTGGTAAGCTGCAATTTTAATTGTTTTCCCCACAAAATTATATGTAAAACAATCCCTAAATAATCCTGATTTTAAATCTATTTGGTAAATAAATTCTTTTTCTATGTATCTCCATAACATACAAGGCATAATAAATAATCTAAAAAGGTGCATTGCTTGGCTTAAATATATGTATCTTCTGTGATGAGGTTTCAATCCTTGAAACAGTAACACTTCTACACATTTTAAATCAGAACATTATGTTTAAATTAAGAAACCCATAGACAAAGTAACTTTTTAAAGAAGGTATGGGAAAAAAAAGTCTTTCCTTTACCCTTGCTATTTCTCTAGAAATATTATTCAAGTCAAGAGCAAAAACTGCATCTCTGCCTCCAACAAATAAGGTATTGGTTTCTTCACTCACGAGGAGAGTGGAAACACTGAATAATCCTTCTTTCATAAAAGTGTTTATATTTCCAGCTGTAAATCATAGAAGATAAGTTCTTTTAAAAATATTTATCACTCGAATCACAGTGTTATGTAATGAAAATTCCAGATTGAAAATAAATGGTAAAAGCTTATATGCATTTCCAGAACATTTTATAAATAATATGAAAGTATCTGAATAAATGCATGGGTATTCTTTTCCCAATTTATTACAGGAAAAGAAATAATGCTGTTATTACCTATAAGCCAGAACCTCCAGCTACAACACTTACTGCTCAGGCATAAAAAAAATCATTTGGATGAGTGCATCTGCAACACTTCAGGTGAATCAGACCACAACATTCCTTCTATGCCTAATAAAAAATAAACTCCCAACACTCTACTACCTTTTTTTTTGCTTGTGAAATTCCTGTTTTTCACTTACTTTGGTACTTTACTGTTTTTCTGGGAATGCAGTCCCCAACAGAAGCTTCTGTCTCTTGCATTAATTGCAAAACAAGATAAAGGACAACAGCAGCAGCAGCAGCGCTACCCATTTTCGGAGATTCAACCAGGAGTAAGTTCTTCCCAGTTCTTATTCCTTGTCATTAAATAATTACAGGCAGCAATTTCTTCATGGCTCTTGAAAACATCCCGCAGAAGCCCTCCAAAGGAAGTATCTGTAATCTTCAAATACTTTCTGAAACTTGTCAAAACCTCTTACATTTTCCTTTCAGATAACTACTTCCAGACATCCTAAAATTAAAAGCAGTTTAAGTTCACGGTAGTATTTGGTTACCTTCATTTTTAGAAGAGATGGACAACCATGCCCTTTTATAAAATTCCAAGCTCTACCAGCAAACGAAGCTTTGCACCAAGCCTGTGATTCTCATTTGCAAGCTGCGCTGTTTCAGATTTTCTGCAGGGTATCAGAGTACGATCTCACAAAAAGTAAGAACAAGTGGGAACATTTTGCAGCAGTCAGCTATTTTAAGTATTTAGGAAAAAATCATAGCTAAACCTGCTTTATTTCCAGTAATTCATCAGGTTTTATATGTATTATATAAAAACAATATATATACACATATAAAATCATAAGCTATGGAAAAAAATGTATTGTATTAATTAGAATCAGGTACTTTTATGCCTGGAATTTTGGCATTCCATCAAAATGAATATGCCCTCCAGCCATGCTGGAAAATTGAACAAAATTAAAGCTAGGTATTTGTCACCTGCAATTACAGAAACCATCAAGCCAGATTCCCAATCTTTCATAAAGAAGTGAATCT